CGGGGGCGGCCGGGCGGGGGCGGGAGGAGCCGCCCCGGGGCCCCCCACGCCCCCCCCCGCGCTGCGGGGCAGAGCCGGGAAGGGAGGGGGGTGCCCAGCCAGCTCGCTCAGGGTGGCCCGAACAAACTAAAATTAACTGGCTGCTTTCTGAGCAGGCTTTGAAAATGCAAACAGCTGCCTGTGCCCTGAGTTATTAAAAAAGAAGGGGGGGAAGCAGCGCCCGGGTACATTTGCAGAATGAGCTGATTGCGTGGTCGGGATGTTCGTGTCTGTGCGCCATCGCCTCCCCCAGCGCGGGGGGTTTGATTTGTTATCGCAGCATGACCGTTGCTTTTTGCTGGCAGAATAAACGCTTTATTCATGCAGATCTAAGCTTTAGCTGGGGGAAGGCAGCTTTTTTTGAAACGTCCAGTGTTACCTAAGAAAAGAGGAGAGATTTTAAATCCCCATCTGCACTGCTGCAACCCCTTAAGAGACTTTTTTGAGTTTGTAAAAAAGCAGAAGTTTGTCTGTGGAAGCACCTAGTCTGCCTACAAGAGAAAATGGCAATAGGTTGGGAGAGGGCTGTTACCGCCCTGCCAGGCGATGCTGAACAGATTTAAAGCTAGACCAACATACGTTTGCTAAGGACAGAAGTGTGGGTTTTGCAGCATAGCTGTGTTTTGAGGTGCACCACTGAAACACGAGTTGCTGGAACCATCCAGCCTCTGGAACGTGCAGGCTGAGCTTGTCCTCGGCAGCGCAGAAAGGGTGTGCTCAACAAAAGCCCTGCAACAGGGCCTGCTTTTCCTCCACACTGGCCTAGGAGAGCCTGTGGTCAAAGACAGGCTGGGGCCCAGTATTATTCAACCCACCCCATCCTTCCCTTTGAGGATAGAGGTCCCCTGAACTGTACTGTTCAAATTCTTACTTTTCCTCCTCTACTCAGGATTGTGCTCCTATTAGTGGCTAAGCAAATATACCGATCTGTACTGTTCTCCAGGGCAGTTCAAGAGAGGAAGGTTTGGCTTAGGGAACTCCAACAGCAATTGTTGGACAAATGTTTCCCATATCCTCTCCTTCTCATGAACAATGTCAGTTCATGCCAGTAAGACATGGAGCTGCAGCCTTTGTTACATTTGTTAAGAGAAGTTGTCAGTTATAAACAGACTGACTAAAATAAATTTACTCCTCTAAAAGTGGATGTGTTTTTAAAAATAATACTGTGCTCTCCAAAATATGTAGGGGCAGGACTAGCTCCTCATGGCTGCAACAGTTGCTTCTGGAAAAGAAATAAGTCTTTTCATCATTCTCAGTTATAGCTGTTTGAGAGTGCCTTAGAGGAACTTCACTTTTTCAGTTTGTTAAGGCTTGTTACCTGAATTCCTTACTTTTCTGCACCTTGTGACTAAGCAGGTTTTTGTGATACTCTTCATCTAAATAACCTCCCATGGTACAAACTTAAATGAGCTTGTCTATTGTTTGTTCTTTGGCTGTTAGTAACCTTCAAAAAGATTATTCTTTCCAGTTGTTTCTTTTTTTTTTTTTTTCTTCTCCAATCCCATCTTTCTGTAACACTCCATGAGCCATTGAGTTGCCTATCTGTAATAATCACCTTAAAGCCTCTATTTTTCGCTTTGGCTTATATGACTGACTTCATCTGCAAAACATTTTGTGATATTCATTATGAAAAATGTTGGATGAAAGGAGGTATTTCACTGGCAGGCAATGACAATGCAGAGAAGGTAAAGCAACTACAAACTTTCTGCACCATGCATCGCTCATTCTGATTTCTGTATGTCAAGAGACAAGTTCAGAGCTAGTAAAATGGTATTGCAAGAAACTATCTTTCAGCAATAGGGAGGCAGTGACAGAAACTATTCAGAGTAAGGAATGTCAAATCAAGTGGCAAGACTTTAACTGGATATTTATTTACAAGGCAGGGCAGATGGCATCAGTGGTTCCCCCTGTTTTCTACTAGTCCCATTTGTTAGAGTCATTCTTCCAAACCATGGTACAAATGAAAAGATGACTGGGAGCTCTGGTACATGCTGTAAAAGCTGTGTGACTCCATTGCACTCATGTTGAACATAATGTTGAATCAGAGTGAAGCAAAAGAAAAAAAAAAAAGGAGTTGAAGAGTAGGTAAAAAGGAAGAAGGAAGGAAAGCTGTATCCTAGATTATTTCTTAGGGAGATAAGAAGAGAGTAAACTTACCCCATGGAATGATGCTGCTAGTCCATCTCAGGTGGCAGGAATGTACAACAGGATTTACTAAGATGAAGGAAGAAAGTCTCTTGGGCTGTTACCAAATTCCAGGGTGGTTTTTTTTTTCCTATTTAGACCCACTGGCAGATAGGACACAGTCACTGAGAGACACAATGGCAGTCTCAAAATGGCAGATTGTGGCCTAAGAAAATCCAGGGCTGCTAATTCTGGAACTCAGGTTACCTCAAAGCATCCAGAGCCTCTGTAAGTAGCATCAGCCACATTTCAAAAGGCAGCAAAACTTATGCTTGTCTCCTGTTTCTCCCTCAATCTAAATTCACAAGTGTTAGCCTGCAAAATTACTTAAATTTCCTCTCAACAGGAGGGATTCTCATCAGCACGGAAGCACAGGCAGCTACCGTTAGCCAGGTCATCAGCCACCCAGCATAAATGTGCTGCGCAAGACTTTGCAGCATCTGAGAAATTGTCTGTTGCTACCACATAGTAGTTCAAAAGGTTTTCTCCAAAATTCCCCTGACGGCTAGTGTTCTGAGTATGCCGCATGGTCTGTCAGCAGTAAACATTCACAAGCAAAGTCCTGGCAAGTCCAAGGTACCAGAATAAATTTACAGTCTCAGGCATTGGTACCAACTCTCAAGCTGTCTGACTAGACTAACATGCATAGGGAGGAATTGTTAGGAACAAACAATTATCCGTCTTTTTACACATTTAAAAATAAATCCAGTTCAACTTCCAAACTAAGTCAGAATGAGGAGGACATCCCTACATGATGTCTTTTCCTGCTGTTTTAAAGCCTCCTTAAATGGTGCCAATATAATTTTCCTTGTTTCCTATCCCATCTGATAGAGAACTCTTCCCATGGGGGGAGGGAAATCAAAACAAAACACCCCCTCCCCACCCCACCACTTATTTTAGGTGCCGGAGGGTGAACATTTTCAGATTACCTGTTGCAAGGCTTCCAGTCCTCATCGCCCTCAGAACAACAAAGGCCATTGCTTCCCCTTTCTCCTTCCATCCGCTTGCAGAAGCTTACTGTGCCTCACTGGCTGTCCTGCTAACCAGCACTGCCAACGCCTGGGATGCAACCACCTGAACTGTGAGACTTGTCCCGGTTACATTTAGTAAATAACTTCCATGATGCTTTGAACCTCAACATTTTGAGGCATACTTTCATATAGTCTTACATGATCAGGCAGGCTATTGAGCTAAGAACGTCAAAATTTGCACACCCTAAAGCTTAGTGGGGAAATGCCAGGAGCCTGGGGGGAAATGATGCATTTGCCTATTTTACATGACAATTTGCATAATTAGAAATAAAATAAGTTCACAGTATTATATCTGCTTGCATTTCTATCAGTCTGATAGATTACTCTAAATTGCATCTTGTCTGAGCTCACCAAAGAACTCTAGTCTTTAGGTAATGAGGCGGGAGAGCCTGGTATTTCACAGGCAGGGAGTGGGGAAGACAAGCCCCTGCCCCCCACCATGGAGCCTTAATTTGAAATTAGATTGAAGATGTAAGAAACTGATTGAAAAGAGCATATGGGGAGGGCACAGGTGACAAAAGGAAGGGGATACTGCTGGAGGGGATGTGGTTTCCCACAGTGAGAGGGGTAAAAGCTGGTTGCATCATGGATTTGTAAGATAATTATTAGCTTATGAAGTAGTATCCCAAAGGATACAGGGAAGCTCCACTGCCTTCCACTTTTACGATCAAATTGGAGAAAACATTAGGAAACATTCACAAAGATGGGCTATCAGGATGATGATTGCTTTTATCTTCCAGATCCATGAATAAGAAAACAAAACCTGGAGTTGATCTGCTCATCCCCACTCAGCAGTTCAGTGAGGATATCAGTTACATTTTAACCCTTGCATGACACTTTGAATTCCCCTGTTTCTTTAAAGTAAATTTAATCTGTTTCCTCACAATTTTAGGGTTGTACAGGCCCTTTGCTATAAAATGCAGGCAGTCCCTCCCTGTTTCACTTTCTTAAGCTAGGTGCTTTTTAACAAGACAAATTCTCTGCTGGCAGCAGTGTTATCAGCCAGGTCCTGTCATCATTCTGTCTGGGTGCAGTAATATTGCTGTATGAAGAAGAGAAGCTTCCAGAGACAGTGGGAAAAGATGACATTTGTGTCTGCTGTTCTCTTTCCATCAGTAGGGAAGATCCTACTCCGAGAATCTAGATGTAGCATAGGCATATGCAAACTTACTTTCTGGTCCTTTAAATCTTAAAAGGTGCTTCTGTCCCGGCATGGCACTTGGATGCTTCCCAGACTGCTGTAGCTGATTTTGGTCAATTCCATATGCACTGGGATATGTGGTATATCAACCTGGGCAGCACCATGAGCAGAACCACTTAGGATGGAGCTGCCCCAGGTTCCTTGGGCCAGCCACCTGCTCTCAGATGCTGCAGGAATCCCAGCCTCATGGGTGCTTCGGTTTATTCTGAGCTTCCCACAGGGCCTGTGAAAATGACTTAGAGGTCTGCAAAGGTCTCTAGCAAAGTTACTCCTTGCTTTATTACCCTAAAAGTATTACAGATCCAAACAAAACCAAATATACCCTTCCCTGCTTGCTCCCTGGAATATTTTTCAGGAATTTGACTAGTGTCTTTTTGTGGTTCAAGTTCCCCTTCCCAGAACTATATTCCTCCAGACATCTGTTCCACACCATGGATCCTTGACCTAGTCTGAAGTCTCTGTCAGACATTCCTTTTCCTCCAAAACCCAGTGATTTTGTTCCTTCTGTCTAATTCTCTCTTCTGTAAATCCCCCCTCAGTTTCTGAGGCCAAAGACAAGTGCTAACACCTGATCTCTAGGTCCTTCCTGAAGGAACTGCACAAATAAAAGCCCAGCCATCTGCAGAAAAGCTAGAGAAAACTAGTTCTCCTTCCCTCAGCCAACCGAGTCTATATAGCTGTCCCATTTATGTAGCTGCTATTAAAGGTGAATTCAATCTCTTATCCCAGAGCATTTCTGCATGCAGCTCTAACAATGTAAGGCTGACTGAGGTATGTAACAATTTAAGGAAAACCAGCCAAGTTTCTCAAGTTTGTGCATAAATTTCCTATCTCGTTGCAGACGGTGCCACAATATTTGTGAACACTGAATTATGTTTTGCTTCCAGCACCAGGGTTGATGTGGATAGTGACTGGTTGCTCTGATCACTGTCCTATTGATAACCTTTGATTGTGAGGGATGCAATGGTTAAATGCATTGTGCTATGTCTTTTGTCATTTATGCCCAGCCTTGTTTTAATTTTGTGTCTCTGTAGACTCATCTATTTGAGATTGTATCTTAAATCCTCTTTAATGCACAGACTGAAGGCTTGCATTTGTCCTGTTCGAGTTAATGGGTAGGGTTTCACTTGTTTCAATGGAAACAGAGCAGGATACTTATCAAAGCCTCCAACTCTGTTTATGTAGGAAGAAGAACCGGATTTAGCCCAAAATAAGAGATGGGAAAGACCCATTATATCGTTTAGCCCATGCTATTATGTATCCTAGTGGTATAATTAGTCTAATTTTAAATGCCTTGAATAATGGGACTATTGCCATCTCTCTTGGGACGTGATTCTGCCATCTAACAATCATATTGGCAGGAAGCCACTGCCTGATGTTCAAACAAATGGTTTATCTTTGCTTGATTAAGACTCACTAAAGATGAGTGCAGCCTCCAGAAATATGCTGTTTCCAAAGCTTAGAAAACAAGGGAAGCAGAGCTGTTATTCAATACAGAATTTGCCAGATGTCTAAAGAGGCTAAGGAATTCCTAAGCCTCTGTTTACAAAATCCTCTCTCTCCTCCCATGAATGCTTAAATTACCAATCACCGCTACCATCGTATGTTTAGGGTGAAATTTCCTTAACTGACTCCACTTCCAAAATTCGATTGGAAAGAGAAACAAACATTTTAATTACTTTTATTTTCCTTCTTCTCGGTGGGCTTACACAAATTAACCCTCGTCATCCACAATTACCATTAAACTCTTAAACAGAATTGTTTCTTACTTTGGTCCCAATCATCCAATCATGCCCTGGAGACCCACTTGCCAAGGTGGTTCCTTCCTTCGAGGCCACACGAAGGTTTGCTGTGCGTGTCTACTGCCTGCTGCATCACTGTAAGCCCTGGAGATGGGCAACACTGCTTTATGGAGAATTTCCCTTTCCAGGAGAGCCCCCAGGCAGCGGTGACCCAAAGCGTATTTCAATGAAGCAGTGCTGTTAAGGAGAAGGGGTAGAGGGCAAACACCAATCCCCACAGACAGCTCTCCTCAGAAACCAGGGCCTTGAGGTTTGTGGACCGGCATCACACTCTCTCCTTTACCTTTTTTGGACCGGTCATTTTTAAAGTATGATTTCTGCCTCGGTGTCAGCCTGCGTTGAGTGGCCTCTCTTGGAGCTGGGACCAATGGTATCTGAATGGCGCTGGTGATATTAAGCTTATTTCCTTCCGTGGAGGGAGGGGAACCAGAAAGCAGCACTTCAAATAAGCTCCCTCCTCATGGAGTCTCTGAAGGGAATGAGGGCCCATTTTCTTAATTACATGTTCATTAGTATGTTTAGTGCTCTCCTCCCTCTCTTCCCCCAGCCCTGCCACCTGGGAGTTCCTACTATGTTACTGGAAAGCCACAGAGGTTTATTTAAATACCACATAGTCAGATTGGAATGAAAAGCTATGAAGCTTCCACTCTTTAATACTTTTTGAAATTATTTATGGGCTATGCTTCTTGCCTACGTAGAAGGTGCCTTCTGAGATTCCTGCAAGTCAATGCAGAAATAGCTGTTTGAATTGAGCAATAATTAGAAGCATATGGAGCAAAGCAAAGCATCAGAGAAATCCCATTCTGCTAAAGAAACACTGCTGTCTGAAATAGATTTCCGCTGCATGTAACATTTTCTCATACGGGCTAAAAAGAAATAACATCATATGTCTGGTTTGCACCTACCAAAGCTGTGAAATTCAAAGTAATGTCTGTAATTCTGCTCTGAATTCAGTCTAATACCGCATGGCATTTGCAGCCCCTATGTTTGCCTGGACCACAGTTACAATTTCTTTTCTTCGCTAGACCTCGGAACAATAGAGGTTCAGCTTCTTTTTGTGAATGTGTGTATGTTTGTATTTAATTTTTTTTTTCTCAATCTTTGTCTTGGTTTTTGTTTTAGGTTTGGGTTTTGTGGGGTTTTTTTTAAGGGATTTAAAATGCTGAGGAAATGTTTGTGACTTAGGACATGGTTACGATCTTTTGTAATGCACAGGCGCACTCTGAGGAAGGTACTCAGAGCTCTCAAATCCCAATTTGCTGCCAAATTCTTAAGTGCTTCATGTGGTAGACTGCTTCACTCCTGGCTTCTAAAAATAGCATGTCCTGCTCTCCTTGCTCCCGCAGATCATCCCCTTGAGTTTA